TCCACTGCTCAGCGCATTCTCAGGGCCCCAGGCTCTGCGGCTGCCTCCTTCAATGTGTTGCTGTGTCTCTTTCAAGGTTGCCAGAAGGCCAGGCTGTTCCGGCAACCGCCCCGTGCTTGCATGAAACCTAAAAGTAGACAAATGAGGAGGCTCTCTTTGGGCATCTCTCTTCTTACTGAGGAGCACAGTTTTTTCCAGAAGCCCCCAGCAGGCCCCAGGGAGCCCCCGTTTGCCAGAACCAAATGCTGTGCCTGAGTGAGGACAGAGGTCGTGATGTTAGGCTGGCTCTGCTGGGAGCGAACGTGAGCACGAGGACCGCTGACGCGCGGTCTGCTTCCTTCTGCGTCCCCAGGGCCTGGGGCGGTGCCGGGTGCTCGGTGAGTGTCCGCTGGATGGAGGGATGGACAGATGGACGGATGGAGGGATGGAGCGTGTGGTTGAAGTCCATGGGGAGCACAGGCGTGAACCCGCGCCGTGAGAACATGCCAGGCTCCTGTCTTCTCTCTCCGCTCCGGCTGCGGCTGGCATCTGGCACCAGGTTGACCAGCTCCCCCATGAACCCTTGGATTCCGGGGGCTGCTCATGACTTTGAAAAGGTAGCCTCAGACCCCGTGTGATCAGGACCTGTGGTGGCCCCTCCACCCACGGTCCCTGCGGGCCAGGCGTCCGTCTTTGGTTTTCAATCCAGCTGCACCACATGGAGACCCACCTGGAGCTAGGCATTCGACCTCTTTGTCCGGCTGCTGTGATGGAAGGGACGCGCGTGCACAGCCCTGAGCCATGGGGATGAGGGTGGCCGCAGCAGCTGTCAGACAGGACGTCCTGTGCTTGTTCTTCCCTCTGCGTTTGGCTTGTGTGTTGGGGGTGTTGGGATGTGGGATCCCGCTGGAGCTCCTGACTTTCCCAGTTAGACTCCCTCCACAAAGCGCCGGGCACTGGGGTGGGGACGCGTCCATTTCTCATTGTAATGGGGTGGCGGACAAGGTCCCCTCACCCCACGGCTGGGCTCCGCGGCCCCGTCTGGGTTTGGGCTGTGCAGAACTGGGGAGTGGAGCCCCACGCTCCGTGTTTGTGACAAAAGTTAAAAATGCCAAGACCCGGCCCATGCCTGACTGTGCAGCAGGAGATTGAAGGAAAGGGTCTTTTCCCAGTAGCAGTAACGTGTTGTTCGTATGTTATGTGAGGGGCAGCTGAAAAAGTCACGGTATTTCTCTTTGGGTCTGTTTCATCTACGAGCACAGCGAGTGGACTTCATTGTCATCATGTCTCACTGTTCTCAGGTCTCTTATATGCTCCTAAATGTGGCAGATGAAAACAGGGTTTCTTGTTGGAGGAGATGACCTCACACTTTGGATTTCCACTACATCCCACCTATTTCCAATGGACAAGTGCCCCCTAAAACAGGCCACCAGCGCCTTCTCTTTGGGCTCCATTCCCTGGACGCCCACTGGCGCCATGGCCATATCGGTGTCCTCGGATAGATCCGCAGGCCTCATTGTAATTAGAACTACCTGGGCTCAGAATAGTGGCTCTCCAAACATTTTTCATGGGCCTCTGACTCCTATACAATAGGTCCTTAATAAAACTGTTCATTGAATGAATTAGCTGGGACATAGTCCTAGATTTGTTCCCACTATGAGCACTAACATACATAGGTGCTCAGGCACCTTTTATTCTAACAGATTCCTCCCCACCCCCCGCCCCCGATAGCTTTTGTGGTAGCAGAATTCATTATTCAGCTTCATCATCTTTCTGCTCGATAATCCTTCTATTTCAATCACATTAAACTTAACTGTGCTTTTAGGTGTGTAACCTTGGGCACATTATGTAATTGCTTGTGTCTGGTTTCCTTATTAATACAATGAGAGTGATAACAACATCTACCTCATAAGACTGTCTTGGACAAATGTCTTAATACACGTAAGACACGTAGCACAGCCGATGTTTATTTCACACCACACTCGGTCAGTGGCAGCCGTTGGCTGGCCGTGGTCACAAAAGCCAGGCCGTGAACATTTAAGGAGCTCTGTAGAGTTTACAGGAAAGCGCGTTGCGTATATTGTTAAAGGAAAATCGTGGGCGCCACATCCTCTTAGTGGAATTTGGAATAAGCTTGTGTGTGGGTACACCTGTAGACAATATTTCTGTGGCTTTGGACATTTGCCACCGGGTAGCACTGGCTCGATTTCTACTCCTCAAGCTGGGGTGGCCCTTGAGCACACAGATGATGTCTGCATGTCGCTCGGGGCAGGAGCTTTGGTGGCCTGCTCTGGCTCTGCGGCTGGGCTAGCGCGTCCACCTCCCAGCCGCTGGGGTCCCCGGCTGCTGACGACGCACACTGGTGCCCCTTCCAAGCCTGCTCCTGGCTGAGGGTGCCTGCCTCATCCAGCGTGTTCTGGACATTCTGAGATCCGCCCCCTGTGGTTCCCGGGGGCGGGGCTATAGCTGACGTCAAGGGTGGGACCGCCTTGCCCCCTTGCTGTGGGCGGGGCGACTCCTGCAGCTCCGGCCACGCTGCAGAGCGTGGGGTCCCGCTGAGGCCCCACTTCTGACACCATGTCTGTGCTCAGCCGCTGCTCCCACCCCAGCGTGAGGCTGTCCCCCGTCTCTGCTGACAGCACCTGGTCTGTCGTCTCAGGCACAGGCAGCGCCATCCCACGCGCTGCCCGCGGGTCCTGCCCTGAGGCGCGGGGCCTCTTAGCGCCTGTTGTTCTCTCAGCTCCACCACCGCCTGTGCAGCCCATTCATTCCCTGGGTTACATCGCCTTGGGCTAACATTTCCTCTCCTTCCTTTGTTTTTGATTTCCTCTGTTTTCTTGGTTGGCCCCTTCCCTGCTCCTGTCTCAGGTCTTTGCATATTAAGCTTCCTCAGCATCAGCTCCTTGGTCGTCTTATACCCCTGTTTGTTTCTGAACAGCACCCTGCCAGACACCCGGGCCTCCCTGTCGGCAAGTCAGCCTCAGAGCCGGAGGTGGTCCCGTCTGCCCCTCTGGGTTGTCCCTCAGGGTTGTCCCGGGCCCCGGGAGCTGTTCCTTTGGAAACACTTGGCCCACAGCCTCCAACACAGGAAGGGCTTAGTCAGTGGTAGCTGGTGATCCTGCCGTTACTCACCTACGGGACTTTCCCACCGAGGATGAGTCGCGTCCTTTCTCCGGGAGCCCCGGGGGGACCTCTTGCGCAGCACTTCCGCATGCGGCGAGGCGGCCTGCGCTTCCCGGGAAGCCAGGAGCTGCTCCTGCCGTCCAGGGGTGTGGCTCGCAGGGGAAGAGAAGGCCTGACACACACGTGGCCTTCGCTGACGTCCACAGTGAGAGCACCCCGGCCCTGTCCAACGCCAGGTGACCGGCACGGCGCCCCGAGCACAGGGCTGGGCGGGGACACGGCCGGCTGTGGCCGTGTTGCCCTCAGCACACACCGCCCCCATTCCCATTCTTGTGTCCGTAGCATCGGGTTGGCCAAATAGTCTGTATGGGTTTATCCGTAAAATAAAAGGCACAATTTTCGTTCTCAGCAATAACTTTATTGATTTGGATATTTTGAGTGTGTCAGCTACCTCCTGTGTGGTAAAGCATTGATTGCTGTTAATTAATGTCTTGAATTGATCACTATCAACTTCAGCTGGTCTTCCTGACCCTGGAGCATCATCCAGTGAGAAATCTCCAGCACGAAACTTGGCAAACCACTCCTGACACAGTCAGTCAGTCACAGCACCTTCTCCATATACCACATAAATTCTTTTTTTGTGTTTCAGTTTTTTCCTTTCTTGAAATAACAAAGCATAATATGCTGAAAATGTCGTGTATTTTCTTCCATCTTCAATATTTTAATGGCTACACAAAAATTTACCCATTTGGATCTTTTTTTTAAAATGCACACTGATATGACAGCTGTCACAAGGCAATCTGACCAAATTGTTTCAAATGAAGTTAAAGACAACTCAGCTCTACTCTAGCTGTTGTAGGGAAAAAAACCAAATGAACTTTTTGGCCGACCCAACCCTCAGCACATGGTGTAGCCAGGACTGAGATGTTCAGGGACAACTCCTGTGTCGCTACTCCGTGGGGGAGATGGGATCGGGGGAAGTACCTTGATACCTAATTCTTGTTAGCTAAGCCGCAGAGCCCCTCCCCCCACCTCCAAACAGATGCACTGCGACTCTCGGGTCTGTGATTGACGAGGAACGTGAATGAGCGTTAGTTGGTTCACCTCCCCTGGCTGCAGTTTCCCCAGAGACTTGGGCTGGACGGTCCCTGAAGTCCCTCTTAGTCTGGGAATCCATGCGGCCTGATGAGCGCTGGTTTCGTGGCCTCCTTCCTTCGTGGCCTCCTTCCCGTATCGATCGCTGAGCCAGGCATTGTGCGCGGGAGAGGAACCGCGAGGAGCAGGCGCACGCCCCCGGCTGATGCACATCTCGATGTCTTTTTTTGTCAGCGTCCCGTTGTGGCGAGCCCACGGGTGGGCACCACGGGCCAAGGTTTGGGTGTGTCACAAGTGCCGCGCCTCGACCTGCGCGGGCATCGTGCTGCTCGCTTCACTTCCTGGAAGAAAGCACACAGGGCTCGCCTGGTCACCGCCCGTGGTGGGGGAGAATGTCCCCCGCCGGTGGTGATGGCAAAGGGAGAAGCCCCAGTGAAGAGCTGGTTGCTTTGTTCTCGGAGGTAGCTCCCAGCTAAGTGTGTAAAGAAAGCCATTTGTGTAGGACTGCTGTGCAAAGTCTGAACATGTCGTTTTGCGTTTCAGCCTGAGAAGCGGTCTCCTGGCTTCTCTCGCCGGCGCTGGTTGCACAGGCCCGCGGAGAGGCTCTTCAGCCCCCGCGCCGCCTTCCAGTTCACGTCCGGCGCCGGCCGAACGCCTTGTTTGTTCTCAGCAGCCATCATCTCTGCAGTTAATTTTCAAAAGCTACATTGGTTTCCAACAGGAATTACTACTGGGAGCATTTCTCAGTTGCTGAAAGCTATTTTTAAAGAGAGAATTTGGTTTTTTCTTTTTTTTTTTGACAGGGGCCGATCATATCCGGAAATACTGGAGTCGCTACTATCAGGGGTCTCAAGGGGTGATCTTCGTGCTGGACAGCGCGTCCTCAGAAGGCGACCTGGAGGCGGCCCGGAGCGAGCTGCACTCGGCCCTGCAGCACCCGCAGCTGTGCACGCTGCCCTTCCTCATCCTGGCCAGCCACCAGGACAAGCCGGCCGCCCGCTCCGTGCAGGAGGTACGTCTGCGCGCCGCTCCCTGCCCCGCCGCGGCCGCGCGTCTCTTGCCGCGGCGCCCCTCGTGCGGGACGGGCGGGGCTCGCTGCCTTTGACCAGGAAGCGTCAGCTTTCTTGGGACATCTGTATGGATCCGATTGGAATTGCTGTTTACGTGCCTGATTCCCTTGGAGAGTGTAGACGTGGCTTTTTCACTGTTTGGCAGAGTGAGAGGACTTATCTGAGTATTTTTCTCATCTATTCTGAAGGGCGGATGGCCTGGCTGTGTCACGCTTTTTCACCCTGCCGCCTCTTTGGGTCCTCCTTCTGTCCCCCAGCGTCCCAGGGGAGGCGCCGGCATGTCCCCCTAGCCGCTGCCACTCGGAGGCTGTGTGCTTGGCCCTCCAAGGCACCCGCCGATCGCTGCAGCCCTCGGTCCTGTTCGGTAACGGCCGGGCTGGACGCGGAGCCTGATCTCGCGTGTCCCGGGGCCGCACACACGCCTCACTGCGGGCTTGCTCTTCTGCTTCCTCGTTTGATTTCCTGTCTTAGCTGGCGTCCCTCCCGAGAGCAGGGACTGGTTCCGGGCCAGTAATCAGCGTCTCCCCCAGCAGAGCTTCAAACTCGGGCACTCAAGCAATGAGAGGTGTAAACAGTTCCCACAACCTGCCCACTACTGAGTGTCCCCCAGCCCCGGGGAAATGGAAGTGCTGGGAGCGACCCCTAACGCCTGGCGCGCCCCCGTCGGGGAGCCGTGGGCCTGCGCAAACGGCCTCGGAATCAGAGGGTTCATGGGAAGGACGTGGCACTGCAGTTTGAGAAAGGAGTTGGAGGCCGAGGACGGCCACGTCAGCCTCTCCCTCCCTCACACTGCGGGGTCCTGCCGACCAGGGGCCATGTGCTCGTGGCCTGTCTTCTCACCCACAAAGTGGGAATGGCGTGTCGTCGTTAGGATACATGAGTGGGATTAATTGGGATCGTTCACACTGAAGTTGAAAGTACTAAGTATTAAGAGGTACCCTATGCAGAAAATTTTCATTTATGTTTCAGGCAAATGGTTAACAAAGCAAGGATTTCTTATTAAATAGACAGAATGCATGTCCTTGAGTTGCCTCATTTGGCACTAGGCAGTTAGCCCCTTTTTCCTTTCTAGATTTTGTGAAATACCTCATAGGTAAACTTAAGTAATGAAGATTAAACAAATAGCAGAAGAAATCTATTCCGAGGGCCATGAACGTGCCGATGTTCCTGATCTGTTGTTCTGAGGACCATAGGTAAATCCTAACTTCTCAGCACCACTTTTTTGTGTGGAGAGCAGATATAACAGTATATTATGATGGGTAGTTATGAATGTTGAATTAGTTTATGACTGGAAGGTGCTTTGCTGAAAATGTGATTATGTGTTCAGTACGGGAAATACAGTATATGTATGTGTTACAGAATTCAAGAATGGTATAACATTTTGTACAGATATACTCTAACACATAGATAGTAAAACACATAATGTGAAGTAGATATAATACAAGTGGCATTATAACTTCAAATCACTTAAATTAGGAGCAAGAGCAGACTTTTTTTGGTGCTTTTAAGAAACTGTGTGTCTGTTTTCCTTAGACACTGTGTGATGGAAGCTACTGTGTTCTTTAAACCTGCTGTGTGCCTCAGGGCCCTGCGCCGCAGGAAGTCAAGCTGTGACCGCGGGGGCTTTGGCAGCGGCAAGGTGTGCGGGGCCCGCTGTGTGTGGCCGCTGGCCACTGGGGGAGGGCGGCTCTGTCTTTGTGAGTCGTCTTTTCGTAGGACGGAGACTGTCAATGTGGAGTAATCGTAGACTTGATTTGAAAATTGAGGTTCTGAACTTGTATGTACTGGCGCATACATGACTTTGACTTTACTTTCTTTGCCAATTTTAAGTGAATTTTCCTCAAAGTTTTGGCTTGGGACAGCACTTCCAAGCACCATCCTGAGGACTGCTTTTTGGAGGCGTTTTCCCTGCGAATACGTGAGCACATACTCTCCCGAGTCCCTGCTGATGTGTTCACCCCGTCTCTGGTCACGTTCCCTCACGGACCTTGGACCGGGTCAAACCCTAAGAGAGGCTCGTCCTTCGGATGCGGGAGTAAAAGAAATGGCAGCTGCCTCTTCCTCCCATTGCCTGAATGAGCGAGGGTTCCCACGGCAGCCTCGGGGTGCTTTGTGGAAATGCCCTCAGGAACGTTCTAGGAGCTAAATCACTGCCTTACTGGTAGCATAAAGGCAGAATCGGGAAACTGAATCATAGTTTTTCATAAACAATAACCTCAGAATGGTTGGTAATCGGCATGGGGAGAAGAGGGAGGGGACGAAATTGAGGAGCCAAGTCACATGTCACTTGAAATACGTTTTGTAGTGGTCGTGTGTTTATTCCTCTTTCTTCCCGTGTCATGAATGTGTTCCGTGCTGCTTCTAAGTATTCGTTTGCACCTGGTGGTGTGCGTGTACTTTGTAGGGTTTCCAAATGCTAAGATGATGGTGTGTTACCTGTGAACTTCAGGCAAGCCTGTTCTTTCAGAGTTGAGAAGAACGCGTTCGGTTCACCACACAGCCCCGCGCAGCTCTCTGAAGCAGCCAAGGGGAGACAAGCCCCGAGCCCCATCGGCACCCCGCCCCCTCTGGAATTTCTCCGTGCTGTGCTTGCTGCGTCGCGCAGCAGTTCTGCAATTACTGATGCTGACGTTGGAGGGAAACTTTGAGAGTTCCTTAGATGTTTCATGTGGATGCCACGACACTGAGTTGAGAGGCCCAGAGAAGCCAGCGAAATCCAAAGGAAAGAAAGCGGGATTGTCCCTTGGGTCCTGGCGGGGGTGAAGGCCACCAGGAAGTGGCACTCATTTAGCTCCGCGTGCCATGCCGTGAGCAGGCGCTGCCGTGCCGGACCAGAGAGCTGCGTGTGCACAGGGAGACGAGGGTTAAAATGGCTTGGGGAGCCGCAGATAGAGGGCAATGCACCCAATTATTTTATTGCCCTTTTATAACTAGCAAGTGGAGTCTCGTGCTCCGCCGTGTCTCTTTCCGTAGCACACCTGGAAATGACCTCGTGTGACCCAGCGGAATTTTAAGATTTTAATGTCTTGAGAATGGATAGTAGAAACTTTTTTTTCCACAAATCATTTTTTAAAGAAAATAGCAAAACACTGGGAAAAGCACCCTTTACATACTGTCTGTAAGCCAAGCAGTTCTTGCAACAGATGTTTGCTCTCTTCACTTTGGGGAGGTGTAGTTAGCTCAGTTTTCCAGAATTTCCTCATAACTGTTTTTCTCTATAGAAAACATAACATAAAAACCTTATACTTATGTCGTGGGGCCCACTGGATTCATCAGGGAAAATCCTGGTCTAACTGAAATGATAAAGCTTTTAAAATGAGAATCACCTGAAGGGTCATTGGATGTTTTTTATTGTATTGAATTGTAATTGCATCTAATGTGTTTTACACCCCCCGGGGGAGAGCATACTTCAGTTCTGAAGCTGTAGGATGGGTCAGGAGGATCTCACGAGAAGTTGAGCTGAGGGCGCAGCCAACAAACGCGACCCTGCTCTCCCTCCGCAGGCGCCTGCCGCGGGCTCTCAGCGCTGAGCTCTGTAGCTCCCGACGTCCGCTTCCCTGGGCCTTCCCGGGCCTTCCAAAGGGACACATTCGGTCGCTGCGCGGGCACTGCCTCATCCTGTCAGCAGCGCTATCTGACTTGGTGTCTGTCCGCACCTTTAACCCATAAGTGCATTGAACTTTTCGGAAGTACTGTGTTAGCTGTGTTTGTCCGGTTTTTTCAAGTAAAGCAAATATTAAGAAATATGAACGCTGTGCAGCATAGATCTTTGAAGTGGAATTACAAGGTCTAGTGACTCAGTTGGTTGCATGGCTCATTAATTGTAGCACCAGAAAAGCGAGCTTCTCATTTGGAGTGTCAACATTAAAGTTAGAGTTTGTGATCCAGCATTTCTCAATTTTCTGGCAATTATAATTCGGTTTATGATGTGGTGTACATAGAATGCGCTGTTGTGTTTAAAAAAAATACAATGTAGGAAGAGTATTTGCAAGTGTTTGTCATGATATAAACATTACTTTTTTAGGCCATGTTTTCTTTGGATTATAAATATTCATATTTTGAACAATGCTTTCAATATTCAGTGTATCATGAAAAATTTATCTAGTTCTCACTTTTTAGTCTATAGACATCTTCCGGAAGAGAGTGCTAGTATGTGTTCTATGTTATTTAATGGTTGCACTTGATTATAATTGCTTGCTTATCAGTAACTATTTCTACATTGCGTACTTTTTCCCCTTCCTACATTGGGTCAGAGAGCGTTTTGAGGATTAGAAATTTTGGATCCTGTTGGTCTGTAGATAATATGCCTCTAGTTTAAAGTTTTTATTTTATACGCTGCTTGACAGTGAGCAGTTCTCTTTTGGTAGCTCTGTGAAGTAGCAAATAGCATCTGCTTTTACATAAGTTTTTTATTAGAAAAATGCAGAGCAGTGTTTAAATCACATAAAATACTTAGCTTAACTGAATAGCACTGTCTGCACACGGAGGGAGAGGCGCGTGTGTGTGTAAAACAACCATTGCGAAGGGCCCTGTACTTCCCATCTTCAGAGTCTTCCAAGCAGCGTGACCTGCCTCTTGGCAGCGGTTTTAGAAGGCTGATTAGATTTCACCTGGAGCAGCGTACATACCCACGGTGTGAGCGGTTCGGAACCTCCCTGCTGGGACGTATACTTACTCCAAAATGATATGAGATACAAATTATTTTTTGTCCATTCCGTACAGATGTACTTCGGTCTGTTACAGTTTCATCTTGGGGAAACAATTAGAGGTTTGGAAGTCAATTTTCCACTGAACGACTCGGTGATCTCCTGAAAATGTTCACTAACTCAGGAGAGAAGCGGTCTTTCCAATAGTTAGTTACAAAGTGTCTTTCTTATAGATATATGTTTAAGAGCAAATTTTAGCTGAGAATACTCAAACGGCCAGAAAGTTTTATTGATTG